GTTTAGTCAGCAGGGTGGTGTTGGGTTGACAGTTGGACTTGATGATCTTAGAGGTCTTTTCCAACCTTAATGATTCTATGATTCTAAATCAGCTCTTGTTGGTAAGCTAAATAATCAGCGCTAGAGCTACAGAATCACACTAGCTTCCCCAAGTCCAGCAACCAATCTGTTCTCTTCTCCTGAATCACAGAGTCTCATTCAGCTTTATCCTGCCACCCAGATCATCCGTGTCATGCTGTGCTCAAGTCTTGCCCCACTGTCTCTGATTATGCCACAGCACTCTGCTGAAGCCACAACCTTCAGGAGAGCGTGACAACAGCCCCAAAACAGCTGCAGCATCTACTTCGATAGTCAGGCAAAAAAGACTCCACCCTCAAATGGGGAAAATAAAAGGCTGCCAAATGCTAACATCAGGCTCTATTACAAGCAGGTGTTGCTCTACTGCAATTGTCTGTGAAAAAACACTCCAGCTGCTTACAATTTAATTACAAAGAACAATTAAATACCTGACATCAGCCTTTCATTGAGAGGCAGCTCAGATTTTGGAGCAACTTCTGAGTCCTTCTGACAAAACCAGTCCCACCTGCTCCCTCCTCACCTTGCACAGGACTTGACAGCATGACACATCATGGGATCTTCCACCTATCCAGCTCTTGACTCCATGCCACTAAGGGCGTTCATGCTTGCTTTTGACTCCAATGCAGGGATGGTGAGCATGGTTCACTTTGAATCACATGAATAAGATGGCCTAGAATCAGCCCTGCTCTGGCCATGACAGAGAGTCTCACAGGGGAACTATGCTACAGTATCTCCATCTGTACCCCTGAAGGTGACTGGCATAGAATCATTGCTTCTGCTCACCTTTGATGTGGGAGACGGGCAGAGTAGAGGCTCGTGATCTCCTCCCTGTTCTGATACCTTAGGAAGGGGGCAGCAAGGCAGGCAGGAGATGTGCACTTCCTCTCCACAGGAGAGCTCTTGCCAGTCCTCCAGCATCTCTCAAAGCTCCCCAATAGCTTTGCAGCATCCTTTTGGAGAGGGACTGCTAGGCTCACACACAGTATCTTTGCCCGTGGCTTTCTGTCTGTTGTCACATTTTTAATCTGTGAAAACCCAGATCATCTTGTCTTGCTTGTGACAGCATTTTGCCCGTTTTCTGCAATGGACAAAGCCCCTAGCTTTCTTATGTCTGCGTTCATACAGGTAACTTCACAGGCAGGAATAAAGGAAAACCACTGGTCAAACACAATCCCCACCGCACCCCGAACGCCAAAAGGATCACACATCGGACATCAGGACACCTTGTGCAGACCACGGCCTGGAAGAGCCCAGGGTAGCTCAGACCCAGCCTAGCACAGAGCAAGAGGAGACAGCAGCAGAGCAGTTAGCAGGTGCACATGAAGGCAAGCTTGGAAAATCCAGGCACATTTGTCCAAACAAAGCACTCGTGTCTACTACCAGACAGATGGCAAACCACCTCCACCCCCCCAGTCCCAAGTCACTTAATAGTTTATGGGACATGAACAACCTAAAAGCCCTTCAGTCCAGGGGCTAAAAGAACATCACATACAAAATCACAGCATTTCACAATGCCTGTGACAACCCAGTTGAGGTCTCATCACCTTGGAGTGGTGAACCATTCTTGTTGGCCACTTCAGGCAGGAATATGCCTTTCTTAGCCTGGCAGGGATACTTTTATTTATATATAATGCAAATGTAAAAGAAAAAAAAAAAACAACTTCAACACACCACTTATCAGCTGAGTGGATGACTGCAGCCTCAAAGCACACTGAGATTCCAGCTCAGATGCCAATTCAGTTACTATTTCACCCAGCTACAGAATTGTTTCAAACACAAAAACTTCCTTAAAAGGACCCTATCAAGGCATTTTTATATCACTTTTATTCACTGTTTGTTTGCAATAAACCTTCAGAAGACTGAATCCAGAATCTCAATTCTTCTTAACCATTTCTATGCACACTAGCTTGTTCTTCGAGAATTTCTGTGTGTATTATCAATGGAAGTTGTAGAGTGCGAGCGTGCAGGACCAAGAGGGGAGGGAAGGAGAGGAAAAACAAGGATTAATCCCCAACTCATGAATAACCAAGTCCTCTCTTTGAAGGGGATTCCAATGAAAATTTGGGATGACCAAAGAATGCACCATCGGTTTCATGAATGACGACACAGATTGCGCAACGAGACACACAGTCAGACTGCACTTCCATTTTTGAGCACAAATTTGGCAGTGTCTCCACAGAAATATTTCCTTATTAAGGTCAACAGGCTGCAAAGCAGTTCTTCAGTGCAGTCCTAAAAAGACCACAGCCCTATTTAAGAATTAGCAGCGCTGTAATTGCCAGGGATTTCTGCTGGAAGAGTATGGAAAGAAACAGACATCTCCCTCGCTACACGTTTTCGTAATATTAGACCCATCTCTTTCCTACACCCTGTTAAAAATGAAGCCAACCACGATTCACTTGCATGAGAGCAAGCTTGGCAGCACGACTTTAAACATGCACACCTCCTGATCAACAAAATCAGGAGGAAAAAAAAGTCGTCAGCTTCACGATTGCCATTTAGGGGCTCCTAAACAGTCTTTTATTCATAGAGCAGATACACAGCAAAGAATATTGTAAATTAAATACAGACATACAGGCCTCCCCAAGCCAAATGATGGTTCACATTTTTCATACAATTCAGGTCATAGTTGGGCTAGATTTAAGCATCATCCAAGAAGGCAGGCAGGCTTCTCAATTAATTGCAGCCTTTAATCACTCCTCAGTACTTCCACAGATCAGCCCTGCCTTTGAAACACATTTGCCCCCTCAACATGCTCTCCCCCCAGCTAGACTCGTATAGTATTCGTGTTAAGACAAGTCACCTCCAGCCAAAGGCAGGGCCCGTTGGGATGCTAAGCCCTCTGCCCCTGGCAGCAAGGCCCAGCTTCTCCCCTAGAGAGCTTCAGAATTGCTACAACCCCCCTTCCACAGGCAGCATCACCCAGGTGGCATTCGGAGGCCTGGCACACCAGCCCCTGCTCCTCCCATGCCCAGCAATGCACTGCTTACCTGTGCCTCCCCTTCTCAGCACACCCGGCCTGGCTCCCAGGTGAAAGCAATCCTTTCCGACCTCTAAGGAAACATATATGGCACAGCCAAATCCAAAGCAAAAGGCCCTTCAATTTCAATGCCTCCCCTTATGTTTCCAGACCTGCTCTGACTGTCACTGGTCAGCAAAGATGCCAATCGTCTGCAGACAGTCTGGCTCCTCTTCACATTTAACTTTTAAAGCATCATCTACTCACTGGGGAAAAAAAATGGGTCAGCCACAAAACATTCACCCAAAAAAAAAAAAAAAGAAAAAAAAAGGAAAAAGGAGATACGTGACTCTGCAGACCTGAATTATTCACAAGCTAAACCTTCAATTGCCACCCATCACACTTGCACATACAGTTTGCTGTCTTGGCTAATTTTGGTGGTTGTTTTTTTTTTCTTTTTTCTTTTTTTTTTTTTTTTTTTTTTTTTTTTTTTTTTTAAGGGGTTCTGTGGGTTTTTTTTTTAGTTTTTAGGGTTTTTTTTGGAAAGCAGATCACATTGCCCCAAGCATCATGTCAGCAGCAAGACCCAGCATGCGGATACCACTCAGCAACTCACACAGCATGGGTTCACCCCCCCCAGTCCAAGGGCTCTTACATAAACTAGTACAGTTAGAGGGAGATAGAACCGACGGAGCCAGGATGCGAGCTGAGGAGCAAAGAGCATCTCCTTATTCCCAAGGTCCAGAGGGAAAAAAAAAAAACCCAAAGCAAAAAAAAAACCAAAACCCAAAACAACCCCCCAAAACACACCTTATTATTCACATTTGCCTACAAACCAATTCAGCACCACTGCTTGCTTTAACTCAAATCATACTCCAGTTTCCCCACAATTTCAGGCTACCTGTGAATAAAGAACATTCCAACATACTTCCGACATGGGTGTATACGTGTGTGTGTGTAAAAAAATGCACATTTCTAGAGTGCTGCTTACAGTCCAGAGTGTGTTTTGATTTCACACAGATTTATACACCAAAGCACCTTTCCCATGGCCCCCCCAAACCCCAGAGCAAACCCAAGGAGGGAGGACACAGGTTAGGAGGCAGTACCTGCATATATACAAAGTAAAACAGATGCTGCTGGAAAACACCACCAATAAAATCACAACTTCAGAGGTGACAGCTTTAGAAAGCACCAGAGGACAGAGATTATGCTTTTTTCGTTAGATGAAGGGGGAGGGAAGAAGGAAAATAATTGCTCTCGAGAATAGCTCCAAAAGGCGCAGGCCGGGAATCACTTGTAGGTGAGACACTTAAACAAAGAAGATGGAGTATCCCTCTCTCTTCAGGCAGAAATGCTTCCTGCTAGAGACAGGGCTCCCATACAAGAAAGCGCTTTTTATGCAGGGCTATGAAGACCAACACACCCCACTGTCTACCAGCAGGAGCTTTCCTGCATTCAGAGAGGCTGCAGTAGCACAGGCCAGGTTTTGGGAGTGGAGGGTTGAAGGGCGGGACAGAGGACACCTGCGGTCTTTTAGGCATCCCTATCCGTGTTTACAAATAGGCCCAAGGAAGGGGGAGCTGCAGGGTAAAGGGAATTAGGAAGAAAACGCAGTGCCATTCAAAGGAATCAAAACAAGGAGAAGGACAGGTCAGGGCCTTTTCAACAATGGCACTGCCAATGCTCAGGGCCAAAACCCAAAAACCAGAGAGAAAAGGCATGGACAAAGGGGGATGTAACACCCTCCTCTCATCTCAGAATAGGGTTATTTTAAGCCTGTCTCCTTGGAGCTACCCTAATATTTTCTCTCATGACTCAAGTCACCAGGGAAGGGAGTTAGAGCAGAGGAGGGAAAAAAGAAAAAAAAGAAAAAAAAAAAAAAAAGAAAAAGACAGAGCTAAGACTAAGACAGTAAAACTCCCTTCTAGAAGGGGCAAAGCCCCAGAAGAGATGAGAGGCAAGCTGGGCTGTGCCTTACCTGGAAAAGTGTGTGGGTTGGGTGACCCTCTTTTAAGGCACTTTGAACAGAGGACGTGCACAGTGTAGTACAGGCCCGGCCATTCCTGGAGCAGGACATTCAGTTCTTCCACTAAAGGGGTAATAGCTTGCCAAGCTGTCCAGATATTTGGTAGGGATGCATGACTAGCAATAGACAGAGTATCTGGCTGCAGAGCTCCCCTGGCAGGCCGGTAACTCACCACCACGGGCACCTTTCCCCGGTAGGCATAGATCTGGTATTTGCCATCTGACCGCTGAACCACGTGGCTGTTAATCTGGACACTGTAGCGTGCAAACAAGCCGGGTGGGAATATGAATGGAAAGCTATATTCAATCTGCAGCTGCTCGACCACGAAGGACTGTCCACTCAGATTGGCACCGTTGATCCACGCCTCTGCATGGGGCACCTCATTTTTAACGTAGCAGGGAAACTTGTACCAAGCGGCTGCCCCATTTAGGGGCTTGCATTTGGGTTTGTTGACACAGTAACAGAGCCCCATCTTCTCCAGCAGCTCCAGGATGAGCTGCAGATCCTCCCGGCTCTGGATGTGGGGCTTAAGAAGTAGACGGATAACGTGGGCAGGGAGGAGGCCGTGCAGCAAGAAGCCCTCCACGTAATGATGGAGCTGAGTGGCCCTCAGTTCGTCAATGTGAGTGTCGCTGAGCAGTTTCTGGAGAAGCACGGTGGCATCCCGCTGGCAGAAGACATTGAGGATGTCAATGAGCCGTGGCAGGTTGTGGAACACATACTCCCGCAAGGTGAGGTGCTCCTCGAAGTAGAGCAGCTTCCCACTCTCGTGCAGGTAGGACAGGGCACTCTGGAGCCGATCCTCTGTCAGGCCTGCCTGCAAGCCCAACCGGGCAGAGTCCCACCAGCTAAGCCACAGCTGCTGAGCTTGAGGCTGGAAGTGGAGCTCCTCCAGCACTTGCCAGGATTTGGGCAACACCCGGTGCAGGTTTGGGAAGATATCCCGGTGCTCAGCCACTGAGAGGAGCTTGTCCCGCAGGCGACGCACCTGGCAACGGTCCCGGCAGCTGAAAGGCAGCACTGGAGAGAGGATCTGTGGGCGGTGGTTGAGAAGGTACTGAAACTGGGCTTTCTTTCGCCGCAAGTTCTTGTCCGAGACCCCATAAAAGGCAGCGTGCGGGCTGGAGCAGCGCAGGTCAAAGTCCTGTCCCAGAGCCTCATCCACCTGCTGGACCAAGCTCTGGAGTCCCTCAGCATCCCTCTTTTCCTTCTGAGCAATCTGGTGATGAATATCCAGGCACTTCTCTTCCAACTCCCGCTCCGCACAGAGGTCAGCATGGGTTCCCACCATGCACACCACAGCATGGGGCACCTTGGAACCGAGCCAGTGCAAGAAATAGCCCACAGAGGGGTAGAAGTGCTGAGGGACGTAGGCACTCAAATTCACCACCAGCACGTACAGGGCTCCGGGAGACAGGAAGAAAGACTGGATCACATCATAGCTTGGGTCCCCCGCCAGCTCATACACAATGAATGTCAGGCCCCTCTCTGCATCCGCTGTCCAGTCCATCACCTCAATGCCCTTGCTGCCCCCCGACAGTCCCAGTCCTGATGGTACTTGGGAGGCATCCGGAGGCAGCGACGCTGCAGGGCTCGGTGCTTCCCCTTTCACTCGGTGAGAGGGCACGTGAAAAGGGATGTCCTGCCGCTCAATGGGGAGATGTTCCAGCTGCTGCATGGCAGGTACCTGCGCTGAGGAGGCATCCTGAGGCTCCGGGAAGGGGCAACACACAACTGGCACTCTCCCAATGTCCTGCTGCTGCCCAGGGCACCCTCTGGGCTGGGTGCTTCCTGCCTCCAGACTTCCCACGTCCTCCCTCTGCCCATCCTCCTCCATGAGGCATCGCCTCAGCAGGGTCTTTCCCGCATCCTTTAGGCCCATGAGGACCAGCTTGAGGCGGGGTTTGAGGGCAGGCTGGGAGTGCGCCAGCTCCTGCTGGTAGGCTGCGATGTAGGGGATGCCTTTCATGCACACCTCATAGGGGGGCTGGATGAGGGGGTTGTCTTTGATCTTCCACAGGGTGACACGGGAGAGCTGCCCGAAGCCCTCGGGCAGGATGGCAATCTGGTTGCCTTGCAGGACCAACTCCTCCAGGCTGTGGAGGAGCACGATGGAGTCAGGCAGGTAGCGGATGCGGTTGTTGTCCAGCCAGAGGGTGCGGAGCTGGCAGAGCTGACAGAGGCGAGGGGGCAGCAGGGTGAGCTGGTTCCGGCTCAGGTAGAGCTCC